AGAATATGTATTCTTTGGTTTAGATTGGTTTGGTTTATTTTGTTTTACGGCATATCAACCTCAATGGGTTATTTAATGCCGACAACATTTTTAGGATAGATTCGTATGAATAGAATATGTATTCTTTGGTTTAGATTGGTTTGGTTTATTTTGTTTTACGGCATATCAACCTCAATGGGTTATTTAATGCCGAAAATTTTTATTACTAGTAATATTTTAAAAAAAGATATATTGCTGTTAATCATTTTTTTTTTTGTAAAAAGTATTTCTTTTATTAAAACTTATTAAGACGTGGTTCCACCCTTATCAAAACCTCCTGTCGAGAGGCTTTGCTATTGGACTTAGTTTATCGCCTTACCCAGGACGCGGATGTATTTTATCGTTATATCCAAGACGGGCGACGTTTGCAGGTTTCTTAGTGATGAAAACAAAAAGGGGTGAAAATAATTTTGGTACAACTGGCATGAAAGTGTAATCAGAATAAACTAACAGCTGGTTTGCAAATGACTTAATTAACGGTAAATGCTTCCACGCAACTAAGCAGAGTAATGATGAATTTGCAAGTACCTTATCACTCTCAGGAACGTGGTTTGATTTAATTGAAAAAAAAAAGAAAGTACATTAAATACGTTTTACTGACAATATGCAAGAAGAAAGAAATCTATTATAGCAGACGATGTCATCCATATATATTATTGTCTTGTTCTTTTTAAGATTAAGTCCTAAATGTTGGCTAGTTGTTTTTCTGCCTCTTTTAAATGTCTTTCTACGCTGCCCACCGCCGAAAGATCTTGCTAAATGATAAATCTTCAATGAGTAACTGTCTCTACAGTGTTTATTTTATTGTCAACTGCTGGATTCCAGGGATCCTGGTGGTATTTGGGGTGGTGGTAGAGTTACCTTAGGGTTTCAGTGTGGCGGCTTGAGACAAGCATTTCAGGACGGACAGAAGATGATGAGACTGTCTTTATTTACTTCATCTTTGTTCTTCATCAGCGACTTCGTTCGCCATCAATCTTTCCAGAAGTTTACTCTTACCACTTAGAGATGCTGTGATGTTTCTCCTCCGTTCTATTGAATGCCAGGACCGGAGAGGGCGGAGGAAATTGGCGAGAATATGGGTGAGTATGAATTCAATGTCCATCCACCCACCCAGCTAATGATGAGATCGGTTTTCCGGGGTAGGTTGGAGATGAGAGGAAGAGATGGCATTAAATATCACCCAGGCGTGGTTTATAGCACAGAAAACAACGGTTCCTGGGGTTGGCCGATTTTGTCCATAAAATAAGAGAATGAAGGTTGCAGAATTGGTTATGGAAGATTTAAAAGCATAGAAAACAAAATCACACCTTATATATATATATAATGAAATTGTGTATTTGGGCAGCAATCCCTCTTTTATTCAAGTTTCCTTAAAAACGACTGAAAAAAGGTACTACGATTAAGGTTTTTCAATTTATGTTTTGTTTGCATCACTCTTTTTATTTCGAGACATAGTGTATAAAAACTGTCTAAATGTTCTATATATTCGAGCGCTTTTCGACGTGGCGTAGTGGTTAGCAAGCTGGTCTCATTAGATCAATTAGGACTGAATAGCGAGTTTGGTCCTCACTTAATGCACTGTGCCACATTTAAGCTACTACTTTTTATATAAGCATTTCACTCCAATTAAGGCAGGAGTGCCACGAGCACGCAAGGGAGAGAGAGAGAGAGCGCAAGAATAGAGATGTTTGAAAAAAGGATATAGAGGAGGACGGGGATCAGGATCAAGACATCAGAAGATGCCGATTGACATTACATTTGAATATTTGAAGATTATAGCTACCAGGAAAGCAAGTAAGAGGAAGGGAGATCCACTGTCGGAAGGTGAGAGATAAGAAGCCACTGGAGTAGAAGAGACGGCTACATTTAACCGTTTCGACTGTGAAAGAGTGGGATGGAGATGCTAAACTAGTAGCACGCTTAAATGCATGCAGTTGGTATACCAGTGAAAGTACTTCTTCAGAGCAGTTGCGATGAAAATATTTGTAGAAAAAAAGAAATAGAGAAGCCACGGCACGTCTGTGAGAAAGTGGCTCTAGACAAGATTCCAGACCAGGACATATCACATTGCATATTAGTCTCTGGATATTGTCGAGGACCTCGAGTTTAGAAATTTATCATTACTTCAAGTGTTTTTCCACAATTTCTGGAAGAAGTGAACTAATTAAACCGTTACAAACCTTACTAATAGTCACCAATTTACGAATCCAAACTGTTGATAAAACTTGAAATTAAAAAAAGTCTAATATTTATAGCAAGATATTTCTGAGTAAGATTGTAAAACAAAAATATTTCTGCTACTATTTGGGTACCTCCACGAGATCGCTAAAAAAAGAGCATAGCATGATGAAATAGACGCCAAACTTGACGAAAACAAAATTTTATCGTCTAAATGTTTATGTTATTTTTAAGAGGAAAGATCAAAGTTTATTTTAATTATTTTTAAAAATTTTTGATTCTTTTCAGAACAACCTGAATTTTCATTTAAAAATCCTTGTTTCTTTTAGTATCACCGGAACTAGTAAAATAACATACAATATTTAGCACTTTTTTTTTTGTATGACACACATTAATTTGGAAAATCTTGCAAAAATAAAAATAATTGTCGGATGTTAATGAAACTTCCAGAAACTATTCACAGATGATCGAAATTATTATAAATATGTTTTTTTATTAAAGTCATGGCAGAAATATTTTTTTTAATATTTATTACAGCCCCCACCTCATAACTAATTTAACGAAAACTCTAGAAATTCGATCGAGTCCACTTTAGTAATTACAATAGTTACAAGGCTTTGAGGAATGCAAATCATTTTTTCTGTTTTCTTTTTAATTGGACTCCCCAACCTGAAAATCAGCTCTGAATTGTAACATACCAAACTCAATAAAACAAATATGTTATTTAATTTCAAATGCTTTTATTTCATACCTACCATATAAACCCCACCAAAAAAAAAAACAACAACAAAAAACTAACAAAAAACATCCAAACTATATTTTTTGCGCAATAACAAACAATATTTACAAACATCTCAAAAAAAGATTTCACAGGACGACACACATTGTTTAAATCAAAATATCTACTGGATAGAAACTAACATCGCTGCGGGAAATATTTGACCAATCAGAGAAAAATAAACCCTATTTTTCTTCAGAAATTTCTTATAAAAACCCACAGATTTCGACTTTTAGCAGCAGGAATGCAACCGACTCCAAGCCGTTCAAACACAAGAGAAGACCTGGCTACATAGCTTTTCCCTCCCCCAAGCTAAAAGCGCGTTCTGAAAGAAACTGGTGTCGGCGAATTCAAACGGTTAGTGAATCTTCGCTGACAATCAAAGTCCTTCCTAAACTACAGCCGTTTCCTGTGAACCAACTACCCAAATACTTTAACTAAAATCTACTTTTACTCCTTTTTTACTCTTGAATTAATGCTTTTAAATATGAAATCATTATAAACAGGCATACCAAGCTTTTCTTTCTTTTTTATTTTATTATTGCTCGGAATTCGGACATTTGGATTTTTAATATATAAAATATGGACGACAGAATATCCAACAGATTCATTGTAAAACAGAATTAAATGAGGGAGATAATAATCTACTGATAAGTTAACCAAATAAGGAAGACGTTACAATCAGGCCGCTTTTCCTTGCATTACATCTTAATAATACAGTGGCATTATCACCTTGCTTGGGATGAATGGATTAAAATTAATAAATAAAACGTTTAACTTCAGCAAGAAAAAATATAACTTTCCTTGTGTATACAATAAAAATATCAATTTGGAAAATCTTAGAAATAATCCAACATACAAGAATTATGACGAAATACTTAAAATATCTGAATAAAGAGATTTAACAGTATTAAGCAGAAACTTTTTTTTTTTTTTTTTAAATCAAAAAAAAATCACAAAACTATTTTTATGGTAACAATTGACAACAAAAAAATACTCACTGCGTTTGCAAAAAACCCCACGCGAATGTACCTCGAACCTGTAATGAGGTGTTTTTTTTTTCCATTTCTCTCTTGTCCACATAGTAAGAGGTTAAGTTAGATTTTCCACAGTTTGGCCTTTGTTTCGGGGGACCTTTATTCGAATGTCTCGTTCAAACATTAACATTGATTCTCCGATTGATTCCTTACCAAATACCTCTCCAGAGAATCATTCGAGTTGCCATATTTCTTTTAATTTCAAAATGGCCGACTGTAATGTTGGAAGATTCCAACTTCACACAGACGGACGCGACATTTCTTTTTGACGACCATTTGTGCAAACACAGAGAAGAGCCTATTAATTTTGAATTCATTTTATTTCATTTTAAATAGTAACAGATATATTTCTTACAACAGAAATATATATTTATTTACAGTCAAAAAATAAATGAGGGCAAGTTATTGCAGAGTTTCTTCTGCAATGAATATCTTTTGATCTCGATTAAATTCTATGGTTTGGGATGAGAAACAGAATAAAAAATATTATCTCAAAGGAATCAAAATAGACGTGATTTATAAAACTGTTTCAGTATAGCTTCTCAAAGCAAACATAAAAATGTATTATAGACGTATATTCATTTACTTATTTTTGCCAACGGTATAATATACATATAATGCGTATCGACATGCAAGTAAATAAATTTGATCGCATACAAATTCACAGAAACTGCAACCAAATGATTATTTAAGGAAATAAAAACACGAACTAATATATTTAGAAATGTAAGAAGATCTATTTATTTATACGAGTGTTATAACGTTTGTAGTTCAAGTTAAGAATACATGTAAGGAAACACTGGAACAAAAGGTTGAATGGAGAACAGGTTTAATCACATGAGAGACATGGATTAATAATACAGTAATAAAGAATACTGTAGTTTAGTGGCGGCAATGCGTACAACTCAGACGCTACAACGTTTGACCAATTTTTCGACGACTGTTCCTCTGAGCAGACGTTCTACTCAGAGTGGATGGACGAGTCCACGTTCAAAAATGAGAGAAAGTTGATTGTCTTCTCCACAGCATCGAAATCGTAGATAGATACGAACAGACTGGGATAGATAGATAGAAAGATAGATAGGTAGGTATGAACAGACTAGGACAGATAGATAGATAGATAGATAGATAGATAGATATGAACAGACTGGGATAGATAGATAGATAGATATGAACAGACTGGGATAGATAGATAGATAGATAGATATGAACAGACTGGGATAGATAGATAGATAGATAGATAGATATGAACAGACTGGGATAGATAGATAAATCGGAACAGACTGAGGTAGATAGATACGAACAGATTGAGATACATCGATAGATAGATAGATACGAACAGACTGGGATGGATGGATAGCATATTCATACTTCGACGTGGTGTAATGGTTAGCAAAATTTCCTTGCTAGCTTAATTACGGCAAAGTTATGTGTTCGATCCTCACTAGGTGCTTCTTACTTTCGGCCTTGTGCCACATCTACGCTTAGAAAATCTCTATAAAAAGTAAAATATGATTTTTATTTTGTTTAACGGCATTTCAACCTCAGTGGGTTATTTAATGCCGACAACATTTTTAGGATAGATTCGTATGAATAGAATATGTATTCTTTTGTTTAGATTGGTTTATTTTATTTTGTTCTACGGCATATCAACCTCAATGGGTTATTTAATGAAGACAAAAATTTTTTTTGCTGGTAATATTTTATTTTGTCAAAAATCTGTTTTTGGTAATATATATTTACTTCGAAATTGTATTGCTAGTAATAATTTCTTTCAAAAAATTATTGTTGGTAATAGTTAACTATGTGCCCATAGCTGGGACCCTAACAGGTGCTACCACCCCGGGTCAGGGTGGACCTGGCAACACCAGCAATTAAGAGATGGTTCCATGCTCCTCAAAACCTCCTGATTAGTGGCCTTGCTGCTGGACGTAGTTTAACGTCTTACCCAGGACGCGGATGTAGTTTAACGTTTTACCCAGGACGCAAAAGGTAAAATATACGAATAAACGAACAACTTTAGATTAGATTCGTCCATGCACAGAATATTTTTCTGCTATATATTTAGAGATTATTTACATTGTTCAGACTGTTGTTCTCAGCTTTAATTTCATATTCACGACGTTTCGGCCGTTGTACACTTCGTCCTTCTTCAGGTGATTGGAATTTCAAACTGAGCCCTTTATTCCGTCCACCGGCCGAAACGTTGTGAATATAGCAATAAAGATGAGGACAATAGTCCGAACACTGTAAATAGTGTAAATAGATACAAGACTTCATCTCAGAAATATAGACTGTGAATATGGCAATAAAGATGAGGACAACAGTCCGAACAATATAAATAGTGTAAATAGATACAAGAACTCATCTCAGAAATATAGACTGTGAATATGGCAATAAAGATGAGGACAACAGTCCAAACAATGTAAATAATATAAATAATTACAATACTGTACCTCAGAAATATAGACAAGTATTTATAAATTGTTGATAAAATACAAAGAAAAATCTGAAAGATTATCGGTACTGATCTAGCATCTCGGCTACAGACATTTTTTCTAGGTGTTTTCTGTAAATATTTTCATGTTAATTGTTCTGTATCTGTCTATACATAGCACAGTGGATAAAGGCGTTAGTTAGATCCAGTGACAGGCCCCAAAGAGTGTGAGTTCAATACCCAGTTAAGGCAGTGAAGAACTTGGAAAGGGGAATTAACAGGAGATAACTGACAACTGACATCCATTAAACATGGCAATGGAACTAGAACAGTCTACCCCAGTGAGCGAAATAAAGGATTCATTTTGACATTCCAACCACCTGAAGAAGGCCGGAGCGTACAACGGCCGAAACGTTTTAATAAATATGGCGACAAAATAAGGACAATAGTCCGAATAATGTAAATAGTGTATATAATGCTGAAGTCTCGAAACGTTGTAATAAATATGTCGACAAAGATGAGGACAATAGCCCGAATAATGTAAATAGTGTATATAATGCCTCCTCTCAGAAATATAGACATATACTGAAGTCCCGAAACGTTGTAATATATATGGCGATAAAGATGAGGACAATAGTCCAAATAATGTAAATAGTGTACATAATATCTCATCTCAGAAATATAGACAGATACTGAAGGGCCGAAACGTTGTAATAAATATGGTAACAAAGATGACAATAATCCGAATAATGTAAATAGTGTACTTAATACCTCATCTCTGAAATATAGACAGATACTGAAGTCCCGAAACGTTATAATAAATATGGCGACAAAGATGAAGACAATAGTCCGAATAATGTAAATAGTGTACATAATACCTCATCTCAGAAATATAGACAGATACTGAAGTCCCGAAACGTAATAAATATGGCGATAAAGAGGAGGACAATAGTCCGAATAATGGAAATAGGGTAATTGTTCTGTTTATATTTCACATTCGTTTGCTAGATTTTACAAATTTAAGCGCAGTACTAGCTGTTGAAATGGCTAGATGTGACCGTAAGTTCTATGCTAGCCGTTTCTGCTATCACACTTCTCGCATCTTCCGGTTTCTTGTACTTATAACCGAACAGATTGACCAGAATCCTTCCCTAATGACGTTCCGACCTTGATGAAAGACCGTGATCGTTGGCGTAATAGACTCATCAGTGTCCGAGTTAAGTCGACCGAATAAATACACATTAAAATCGGTTTATTTACAAGATGAATTAATACAGTTCTGCCACGATACATCGATAAAGCACCATCGATATGTCGGTAATATATTGATTTTTAATTCTTATTAAATATTTTTAAAACGGCCAATTTCGAGATATTCTATGAAAACTTGGAGGAGCGAAATTAACAAACGCTTTGATAAATATGGCGACAAAGACGAGGATAATTGTCCGAATAATGTAAATAGTGTACATAATACCTCATCTCAGAAATATAGACAGATACTGAAGATGCAAACAAACGTTCAGGCTTTTAACTTCCGACAAGATAAAACAATGCGTTCGCGTATAATTAACTAACGCCTTTATCCACTGAGCCATGTGACCTCGATGGCTCAAAGAGTTTGATAAATATGGCAACAAAGATGAGGAAAATAGTCCGAATAATGTAAATAGTGTCAAATAGGCTCTATTTTTAAGGTTATATTTACCAATATCATGTCCTAGTATGTTTTCTTATCCTTTACATTTCACTGTACAGGTTAAACATATCGGGTGCGAAAACATATTTTCACGCATTCATTAAGGTCGCTCTCTGTTCGCCTATTTTCTCATAGTATAGGGTGACCCAAAACAACGGGAACTTTTTAACAATCCAATAAAACCAAGAGTGATGGAAGAAAAATATTTTATTCATAGTAATTGAAATGTTAAAACATGCCGTTTAAGAAACAATGATGGAATTTTCATTTTTTTAAAATTACATCCTGTAGATGGCGTCCTCCTGTACAAATGCATTCTTAAAATCTGCTGTTGAGATTCCTCATTGACTGCTGCAACATCTCAACTGGGATACTGTGAATTTCATCTTGAATTCTAAATGGTGAAATGTTTACTTGCTCAAGGTCACTGTCTCGCAGTGTTGCCACTTGTTCATGTCTGGCAATACGCACTTCAAAAATTCCCGTTTTTTGGGGTCACCCTGTATAAATGCTTACAAAGCTATTCTTGCAGATCGGTATTATCGTGGTGAGTTTGATCCTCACTGAGTGGAGCTGTTTGCTCTTGCTTCCTCTACCGTTTTGAATTCAGAGCATTCCTCCGCTTTGACGAGCTGCCACCTAAGGCTCGAGAGCTCAGTCTATTCTGATATTTAATCCACAGCTGGGGGGCAGAGAAGAGGTAGATACCTGTTCTTAAGTGTATCTGTGCGAATGCGAACGCAGCATATTAGGTCGGTATTTTAACTCGCCGATTCCACTGTCAGCGCCAGTAATCGCTACACTACTCGCAAAGAGTCCATAAGTTTCCGGATGGGAACTTAACCTTCATGAGAAAAAATAAAAACAACACCTTGAAACTACTTAAATACACAACGAGTGTAAACATTATATTCTTAAAGCTAAAACCAGGCTTTGATAAATGTTTTTCTCAGGAGCTATATATATATATATATATATATATATATATATATTAACTGAAAATACATCCAATTTCAGGTTCTGGTAATTATGAAAGCTCGTGTTACTATCAAAAAATAAGTTGTTAAAAGATAAAAACAAAAAAGTGGACAAAAATAAATGGTTGATATCGTAGTGATGGAAAAATGATTGATATAGAAATCATCAACATTGTTCATATTACATCATTATTACACTATTTTCTTTTATTTTTTCACGCCATTTTTCATGTTGAAAATTTATAGCCGAAAATAATTCAGAATTTCCTGTGTTATTGCGAATTGGCCGGGTTCGTACGTCTTGCCAATGATACAGAGACCGCCATTAATTAACGCATGAGCGTACAGAATTTCGGTATCAAACGCTAGCGTGGTTTCACTTCAAAGTATGTAGAGCTTGGAAAAACACGACAGTAAATCTATAAAGATGAGTTAGTACAGCACATTTGCAAACATTTATATTAACAAATGCGACTCTGTCTTTAGATAAGTATGGGAAAAACACGTATATACTCCAGTAGAGTGCGAGTTTTTATGATCAATTTTTACGTTAAAAACTATATTTTATGATCAGTTTTTACGTTAAAAACTATATTTTATGATCAGTTTCTTTTACATTTAAACTATTTTACGATCAGTTTTTATGTTAAAAACTATATTTTATGATCAGTTTTTTTACTTTAAAAACTACATTTCATGATCAATTTGTTACGTTAAAATCTATATTTTATATTCATTTTTTTTTACATTTAAACTATTTTACGATCAGTTTTTATGTTAAAAACTATATTTTATGATCAGTTTTTTTACTTTAAAAACTACATTTTATGATCAATTTGTTACGTTAAAAACTATATTTTATATTCATTTTTTTTACATTTAAACTATTAAAAACTATATTTTATGATCAGTTTTTTACGTTAAAAACTATATTTTATGATCAGTTTTTTTTACATTTATACTATTTTACGATCCGCTTTTATGTTGAAAACTATATTTTATGATTTTTGTGACGAATGCAGCTATCGATTTTTTTTTGCATGCTAGCATGCTAGTTAACATTCGTGTCAGTCAGCTGTTGGCTCTCACGCTGGCCAATAGAATCTTCCTGCCGATTCGTGGCAGCCAGCTATAGGCTCTCACTCTGGCCAGTAGAAAATGACCGCAAACTACATGAAAAGTGCCGTAGAAGCATGAAAAAATCGATTATTTCCACTATCGATGGGAGTT